GGGGGGGGGGGGGGGGGGGAGTTATGAGCGAGGTACCCCTGTAGAGGACGGTAGGGGAGACCGTCCAACCCGAACCCTTGCCCCCTTGTTAAGGCCTGCGCCTAAACCCTAAATCCTAAACCCTAAATCCTAAACCCTTAACCCCAAACCCTTAACCCTGAACTCCAAACCCTAAACCCGAAACCCTAAACCCTTGCCGCCTAAATCCTAAATCCTAGACCCCAAAGCCTTGCCCCCTTGCCCCCTAAACCCTAAATCCTAAACTCTGAATCCTAAACCCCAAACCCTACACCGTAAACCCTAAACCCTAAACCCTGAACCCTGAACCCTTAAACCCCCCCAAATCCTAAACCCGGAAACCGTAACATTCCCAAACTCCAAACACTTAACCCTCAACCAGGTGGAGCATGGGCTCGAGGACGTGCTGCAGTTTTTCCAGAACTTTCTCTACACCCTACACCCTAAACCCTAAACCCTAAACCTTACGCCCTAAGCCCTAGACATTAGACCTAAACCCTGACCCAGGTGGAACATGCGCTAGAAGACGTGCTGCAGTTTCTGCAGAACTTGCTTGTCACTGAACGGTTGTGTTTTCTGGTTTTAAGTTCTGGTGGAGTTTGTGAAACGCTGCGTTTTTCATGCCCACGTCCGTGAAACGCTGCGTTTTTGCATGGTCCCATCCGTGAAACGCTGCGTTTTCCGCAGGTCGAACACGCGCTGGAGGACGTGCTGCAGTTTCTGCAGAACTTCCCTACGGACACGGAGGACACCGTCACGCTCGACGACGATGCGGTGCGAACCTCATCGGAAAACTAATTTAATTAGGGTTACTCCACGCTCGACAACGACGCTGCGTGCGTCCTCACACCCTGAGCTTTGTACCGGGTCGGTAGCTAAACCAGGCAGGATTAGTACCAGGATACCCATTAATTAGTCAACTGTATCGGGAGGTTCCAAGTTTTGGCGCAAAAACATAGGTGGGAATCCTGAGATCTTTAGTAACACCAGGTTCTGAACTCGCGCGAGTTGGCCGGTGCACTCGTGTTGGACACACCACGCTTTATTAAAAGGCGCGGTTTCGCACGCGAATACTACACAAAAAGGACCACACTAGTCCTAGTCCAGCAGCTGTGTAGTAATTTTCGTTGGCGGCGCTAGGTCGAGTGGGCCCTGGAGCTTGTTGGACACACTAAACTCGTCTTAGACACACTGAAAAGGCGCGTTTTGGAGGACAGGTGCGGCACGACGCCCCTTTATAACTACTATTGAGGACACGACCACTGAAAAGGCGCGTGTTGGGGGACAGGTGCGGGGGCTGCGCACACACTACGGCCATCTATTCTATGTTGCGCTCCGTGGCTCCGTCAAGATGTCACTCAAAGTCATCAAGGACAGGTTATGTTTCGCCCAAAGTCATCACGGACAGGTTATGTTTGCGCGAGAGGGGACTACTTTCGCGGGTGGTTGACTTTCGGACGATGGTTGACTTTTGGAGTGGTTATCTGGCGTGAGAGAGGTACGGGCGAAGAGGCGGGAGAAGGAGGGTCAAAACACTCTTCGAATACAGGGTCGTAAGCTCGCGGTATTGGTTGCTGTACGGATTTCCGTACACCAACAAGACCGAGCAGGAAAGCGCCCGAGCTCACTAAATTGCTCAGCCCAAATAGACTAAGAAGAGCTAGGACGATGTTCTTGCTCGACCGGCCGTTTTTTTAGGTTGACGTGGAACCATCCGTCAGCAGGCTCTTCCAGGTCAGGTTGATCCGGGAAAACTTATTTTTCTTTCATTTGATGGCCATGAAAATTACTACACGATTCGATCTTACTAGTAATATTAAAGCATTCGTGTAGTGATTTTCATTGGAATCGAATGAAAGAAAAATATGTATCAAAACACTCTTCGAACTCTGGGTTGTTGGCAAACCCTAAACCCCAAACCCTAAACCCCAAAACCCAACCCCCAACCCCCAACCCCCAACCCCCAACTTCCAAACCCCAAACACTGACCCATAAAAATTGAGCGTTCCTCAGACCCAAACAGCAAACCTGCAGGCTGTCCGACCGTGCAGGCTTGTCGGGTGTAGGGTGAGAGCCCGAGTTTCTGTTACCTTATCCATAGGAACTCCCCTATGTTCCTACGGGTTGTCTACCTTAGGGTCCTAGATCTGATCGCTTAGGGGTTATTCAAAACCCCTTCGAAGTCCTTCTTCTGAAACCGGGCGACTCTAAACCCGGAACCCGAAACCCGAAACCCCAAACTCGCAGGCTTGCCGACCGAGCGGGGCTGTCGATGTTCTTGCTCGACCGGCCGTTCTTCGACGTCGACGTTGAACTCTCCGTCCCGACCATCGCGCTCTCCCCCTCCCTCGACGACGTGCAGGTGCCTCACTCGGTTTGACAGACTGTTCTCAAGTTGACATGCTGGGCGTGCGGTACAAATCCGAGCGGGAAAGCGCCCGGGGTCGCTAGTTTGGTAAGCCCAAATAGACTAAGAAGAGCTAGGTTGATGGTGTTGCTCGACCGGCCGTTCTTCGACGTCTATCCGTCCCGACCATCGCTCTCTCCCCCTCCCTCGACGACGTGCAGCTGAAAGACTCTCTAGACAGGACTCGCACCTATACTTGTATGGGTAGCAGCCAAATGCTGGACCATTTAGCTACGAAAGCAATGAGTAGGGCTCGAAGCTGCGACGATCGACCGGGCGTTGTTCGACGTCGACGTTGAACTCTCCGTCCCGACCATCGCGCTCTCCCCCTCATTGGACGACGTGCAGGTGTGCTAACTCGAAGCTGACCGTGGCCTTTTCTTGAGTGTTGGTTTCACGCTCGCGTCCAGGGTTTGTACGGGGCTGGTCACGTTGCTGTACGGATTTCAGTACAGCAACGAGACCGAGCGGGGAAGCGCCCGGGCTCACTAAATTGGTGAGCCCACATAGACTGAGAAGAGCTAGGGCGATTTTCTTGCTCGACTGGCCCTTCTTTGACGTGGATGTCGAGCTATCCGTCCCGACCATCGCTCTTTCGCCCTCATTAGATGACGTGCAGGTGCTTGCACGCGCCCACACACCTGGCTCAGTCTATTTGGTCTCACCAATTTGGTCCACCGTGAGTTATACACCCTAAACCATAGATCCTCAACCTTCAATCCTCAACCCTAAACCCTACACCCTACACCCTACACCCTAAACCCTAACCCCTAAACCCTACACCCTAAACCCCAACTCCTAAACCCAAAATCAGAACGCAACCAACGTGTGCGGGGGGCTGGGCCTCTTGGTGATGCGTTTAAGCTGTCTCCTCAACCCTCTACCCTCAACCCTCAACCCTCAACCCTCAACCCTCAACCCTCAACCCTCAACCCTCAACCCTCAACCCTCAACCCTCAACCCACAACCCACAACCCTACACCCTACACTCTAACCCCTACACCCTAACCCCTGACGAATTTGAACCAGGTTGAATTTGATCTGAACCTATGCGTGTGTGAACAAACCTCAATAAAACAGTGTCCCTTACGGGGGGCTCGCAACCTGAAGAAACCGAACCCTAAGACCTAAACCTTACAACCTACCCCCCCCCCAAAAAACAGAACTCGATCAACGAGTGCGGGAGGCTGGTTCTTTCTCTGACAAAGTACGTCCCGATCCTCACGCCCGAGCGCCGCTTCAAGCCTCCGAATAGGTCCCTACACCCTACACCCTACACCCTACACCCCACACCCTATACCCTACACCCTGCACCCTACACCCTACACCCTACACCCTACACCCTACACCCTACACCCTACACCCTACACCCT